AAAAAAAACTCCATTTATCTAAAGCCGAACTTTCCAGCGAGCTCAACTTCTCTTTCCATAAGTGAACAGCACGTATTGCTGCTCTGAATGAGTTCCAAAGAGCAGATCGTAGCGCGCTGCTTGTGAAAGAAGCCTTTGAGCGCCGTTCTACAGTATCCAGCTGCAATCGGCTAGACAAACAGCACGCGCGGAGCAGCTATTAGGAGCACAAATAGTGTCGGATAAGCTGACTCTGAGCATGGGTAGCGAGCAATATGTGCAAATAGAGGCTCGCGAAGCGCCTACTTTCACACCTTCGCTTCGGGTTAGAGGTGGGCTAAGGGGTAAGATGTCTTGCAAAAGCTATCACGGACCCCCACATCCCTGTCCTGCGAATTCTGCACGAGCAGCAAGCGAGCAGCCCGAAGGAGCAGAGCCGAGAATGGCGGCTAGTTAACTGTTCGTCCCCAGCCATGCCACCCAACGTGCAGCGCATTGCCTGCCACTGGTGCTGGGCGCTCTCGGGAGCCGCGCTATCACGATAACCAGTTCTGTGAAATGGAAAGCTCACGTAAAGTACGCTCAGTCGGCCGACAATACATGTTGAAAGCAAATCGCTAAGGAAGCCCGCGAGGGTGCTGGCTCTATGACTGTGATTCGCGTGAGAACAGGATGCATCAGAGGGCGAAACGGTCACTTTCGGCAACAAAACAAAATAAGTACTTACTGGATATTTCCTGATTGCACTGAGTGCATGTGTAGCTCTTAAAGTGCGCCTGCATTCGATGTCTGCTTAGCGACGATGAATGGCAGAAGATTTTACCGCACACCGAACATGGAAACTGCCCTGGAATCAACAACAGCTGAGAATGCCTACACTTTCACCTACAAAAACAAGTTCGCATCCGAGAAAGTTTCTGTCACAGACTCATGCAAAAAGGAAACCGCCTCGACCTACTCACTTTCATGCAGCGGATGCTATACGTGCATGACAAGGAGCTGAAATCTTTTCCAAACGCGACTACTAAGATTTGTGTCCACTAACCTTTGAGATCTGGTCTTTTCAACTCCGCTCTATAGGGCATCGTCCCTGGAACGTTCAACATTTAGAGAATGATTTTCTCTAGAAATCGGGGGTAACAAGGAAAACGAGTTAAACTGCGAAATTGACATGTATTATGCGAATGGTAAATTTCCAGATTTAGGCTTCTACAGTCTAGGAGACAGGTATGATAGAAGGAAGTAATTGTGGGGATCGTTTACCGATCTTTGTCAAGCCGAGCTCAACATGCAAAAACTTAGATGACGTTCAAAACTGAAATAAAAACGTACAAATCCGATCAAAACGCGCAGAGATTAAGCGGGCGCTTCCACATAGAAAGAGGTGGGTTCGAAAGCGAAAGAGTACGACATGAAGAAGCGAGCAAAAGTTGAGAAGACAGAAATGGAACAGAAGCACGGAGGACATGATCAGTGACGGTGTGAGTGTTAATCGCCTGTTTGCTAGCGAGAGAGAACAAGAATAAGAGGGAGTGAGAGGGCTGAGAGAGATAAAATGTGTAACAGACGAATAATAGCCAATGAGGAGACAGCAAAGCACAGCAAACACAGCCGGGGCGCCCCCCGTTTACTGTCAATAAGCTGGCCGTCGTTCCGGAATACGGTAGCTCGAGAGCGCGCCGAGCACCACCTCAACAAACCCCCTTACCTATTCAGAGCAGAGTCAGCCACAGACAACCACCTTCCACCTAAACTCACAGGCACTTCATCTCTCACATCGTCGACAATCGGCCAGCGGCTGGCAAACACCGAGTTGCGACGAATACGGAAGCAAATCGAGCTGTGCGACGCACACGGTTGGACGGAGTTATACAGCAACAGCAGGCCGAGCTGCTCTCGGTCCCGTCGTCACATGAATGCACTAATGCTTACTGTACGGTAGACATCGCTCGCGCATCGCAGGTAATGCTTCAGAAATGGTGAAAACTCGTTTTTTGTCGCGCGAGCAACAGGCTGATGAGGATAGTGCAAAGCAGTACAGCTAATTGGTCCCGACATGGCATCAACGACCGATATAGTAGAGTCAGCAGCTTGCACTTCACGATTCCGCCGTCGACGACGGGCAGATTCGGGGACGCTGGGCGACACCGAGCAGGCGGATGCTGCTCGACGGGGAACCGGGAACGTCGGGGGTACCTCAGATCAGGCGTGGGTACGACGAGCACTGAGTGAAGTG